AAGCAAATCTTTCGAAAAACTAACTCCTAACTCGTTTCAAACGCGACCAAAACAAATGCGACAAGATATTTTTCAAAGGAACGCTTACCTAATGATCTTCGTCACTTATTGAGAGACTTTATGATGAGAATTTTGTATAAGATGTTTTATATATATATATATATTTTAATAACATTTTTCTATGATTGATAAATTTTGGTGTATACGTAACTCATAGTATTTCTATTACATTTGTAGGTCAATGAATTTGGATTAGATGTTAGAAGATCCTGCGTTTTGGAGTCTGGACCTAAAATTAGGGTTTTTCAGGGATCTCTATGAGATTGTGCACGACCTGCAGCTTATGGATATTGGTTATGCAAGTGTTGGTTGTATAATTTGTATAAGCCAATCATGATTCAACACGTGGCATGAGAAGGGCAATTTAAGAAAGTAATATAAATCGTCAACCATAGTCAGACACATGTCAACCCATATTGATAATAATGGGTCTGCGTAGCACTGGAATGATCAAGGGATATAAAGTGATGCGGCCTAACGGTTACTCACAAGGTTAAGACATACAAAAATGGGACCAAAAAGAGGATATAAAGGGAAGTACAACATGGAAGTCTCAAACAGTGTTGAGCCCTTCTTCAGTGTTGAAGAGGGACTCAAAATAAGCCTACTTACAGTTTATAACATGCTCCAAAATAAATCACACACAAGCTAAAAATATCATGCAAGAAAATGACTTTTTAGAGGGATAATGAAGCAAGTGCAAGATGGAGTGCTCAAACAGGGTTGAGCCCTTAATGAGACATGAAAATGAGCTCAAAAAAATGGTACTTTCATTTTTGGTCGGAGCTCAAATGTATAAGAAGGAGAGACTAAGAAATATTGTAAAGAAAAGCTCAAAAAAGAGAAAATGGCAACTCACCCTTGGAGACAAGTCTTTTGTTGCTTCTTGGACCAATTTGCAGCTCCTTTAGCCTTTGAGAAGCCCTCCTTGTTGCTGGAAATGAAGTGGTGATGGCAGAGCTTGGTGATGATGAAGAAAACAAGGTGTAGGACTTAAGGTTTTTTAGGAAAATGAGAAGGATGGAGGGAGGTATGGATCTTAAGGCTTGAAGACAATTTTTTCTAACCCCAATATGTGATATGGCTTGCTGGTTATATGGCTCAAAAAGGGGGTGTAAAGGTGGGGGAAAAGGAGGCCAACTTTCCCCCACAAAATATCCCCCGGATACAGATATTTTCTGGTGGATAAAGCCCTACAGCTGTAAAGTGAATAGTGTGAGGATCTCGGCCGGCCAGTTATTTTGGTTGCAGGTGGCCGGCCGGCTACACCCCCTAGCCGGCCGGCTAGGGGTCAAAAGGGTCAAGCTGATTTAGTGGCCGA